GAACGTCGATTCAATTCAGTAAATGACGTTAACGAGATAACATTAGCGCACTCTCCCGTATCTTTGTCTAAAGAGAGCTTGGTGTTACCTGCACTCACTGGTATTGTCAATACCTCTACTTTACTTAGTGCAGCGATCAATGACGCTGTCATGGAAGCATTAATAGTTATATGTGATCTTATCCCTGGTCGTGTTGGACATGGCGCAAATCTTCCCCCGACGGATTTTGAATTTGACGCCGTTGATTGCGCTCTAAATAATCCTGCCTGCATTGCTGCAGAGTTACACAATCCTCTGAACTGTGTGATGTAGAATGATGTAGTAAACACCACTGGTCACTTTTGGGTTCGGAAGCATTGTAGGTCTCGCTTACTGCATTTTGATTTAACTTTTGATTTTGATTTTTGAAGTTGCTTTTCTTGGCTTTGTTAAACTGATCGGTATTACCGTCTCGTGGTGCATAGAAACAGTCTTCAGTCTTGTGATTCTGTTTCTTGCAAATTGTACAAACAGTTTTTTGTTTAGGCTTGATACCTGTTTCTTTTTTAACCTTAATTGGTGCGATTGCCACAGGTGCAATGGTACTAGCACGAGGTGTGTATGGGGGTCTCTGTATTATCTTTTCTGCATAATCTGTGAGTTTCGCTGACTGGGGGTAATTTTCCCTTTTAGCTTGTTTAAACTCTATTTCTTGAATAAGAAATATAAATTGGATATACTCAATAAGACGATACACGTTTTCCTCCTTGGTATGGTTGTTTTCCCACCAATCAGAAGCGGAGAAGTGTGTTTTCGCGTCGTCATAAGCTTGTCCCACCATAGACTGTGCCATGAAGAGATCCTGTGCTTGGATTCGCGTTAATGTTCTGCTTACCATTCTAAAAACCCATGTAAGATGACTGTCGCCTCCTCCCTGATCAAAAACTCGTATCAAATTTCTTTTGAACTCATCATATGTTGATCTGGTAAAGGCTGAAGCATTCATTAGGTTACTTGCCCGACATGCCGGTTTCATGTGACCGCGGACGAATGCTTTACGATCCTCGTCATCTTGGACATTATTATGTCTCATCGCATCCTCACATGCTCGGAGAAATGCGAATACATTATAGTTAGGTTCTTCCCCTGTGAAGTCTCGAATCCGATCATGCCGTGGTAATATTTTCCACACATTAGTTGCTTTCATCACTGGGTTAGTCATGCTTGTGGTTATGGGTTTACTAGTTAATGGCAATGCTGGTAAATTACTCGTGTACTGATCAGCAGATGTCAATACATTGTCCGAGATAGGTTCACTATACAGAGGTGTAGTGTCGTAAGAACGTCCTGACCTAAGTTGTGTAAATAATAATTCGTTATTTGTGTTATCTACGATTGCTTCACTAATTTCTATTGAAGTGTTTACTGTTAGTTCAGGTTCAATGACTTGTAATTCATGCGCACCTTCGAGTTCACATGTGTCAGTGTTAACAGTGTCATGAGGTACAGTGTCACTTGAATTATTATCTAAGTTTTAATTAAATTGATCGTTAACAATATATTAATGATTCATAAATGTTTCTTAGATTTAAATGTTTAATAACTTTGCCAATCCATTCACAATAAGGTAATGTGAAAAGTAATTTTAGTGATAATTAATTGTATAAGTTATTTTCCATTAATTGTTACAAGGCACTTGATAATTAATAATCTACCACGATGTCTACCGTGTGAAGATATGTTTTCGATTATATATATTATGTGTATACAGTATATACTTAATGATTGTTTGTGAAATACCTAATACCGTAGAGTTGATTGTAGTATCTCGGAGAAATCCTCTTGTTTACATCTGGTCAGCTGGGCTGGGTGTATAACATAGTCGTCCAGATGTCGCCGCTCTCGATGACGTCACTGTTGGAGGTTCTCTACCCACAACATCTGATCTGGTCCAGATCGATGAGGGTTAGGTCGATAGGTCAGATGAGGGTGATGAGTCGACAGGTCGATGAGGGTTAGGTCGATACGTGATATCCTGAGAAGGTACCTCTGGTTATCGCCTTCCTGTCAAGGTGACTAATGGCTCTTGTAAACCATACACATCTGCTCTGTCTTGTAAGTATACACAAGTGTACACAGGTTCTGTTATCTTCATTTGTGGTTCCTTGGTTTAATGTAAGCACACGTGGTGATTTTCTAGTTATATTGGATGCTCTCGTAATTACATAATTGTTTGTTGACAGACTACTGAGCATTAGCTATTAGCTTGTAATTAGCTTATATAATTAGAGAGAGATACAGCCTTGGGAGCTATGCTCACACACGTCTCTTTGGTACGGTGTCTGGCTGTGAACTAGGCGAACCTCTCTCTGTCTGCTTGTAAGGGGGTATGTAATCTATACGTCAACACCGAGATAAGAGGCTACACTCCACAGGCCTACTCTCATGGAGGCCTGGGGACATATATTTATGGGTTGTAACCTGAATCTGTGTGAAACTACAAATGTTTATGTGTGCTGTATACCCTAGGAGGTGTGACAGAACAATTGCTTATATAGCTGTATGCTCAATAGTTTGGGTGATAGAATGTATATAATGAATATATGTCCTTAGCCCATATTTATATAATGCTAATTGATAAGGGCTAGAACGCATATAACACCATCCATCATCACTACATATAACACCATCCATCATCACTACATATAACACCACCCATCATCACTACATATAACAACATCCATCATCACTGCATATAACATCATCCATCATCACTACATATAACACCATCCGTCATCAATACATGTAACACCATCCATCATCACTACAGATCGGTAAAGTAGTTTCCGAGATTCTCGTGCCGACACACAGACAAACAGACAGACTTCTTTGTTTTATATATATATATATATATATGTAATATTCAGAAACTTCAGTGTAATTTCAAACGCCGCGCCATTGGCGATGCTGAGTTCAAGGTCGTCTGAGGGAAGACCGCGCTCCCATACGTGCGCTCCCGTACGTGTGAGAGTTTGTGGAACTAGGCCTATATGATATTGAATGTAGTTTACCGAATTAATAATGATGCGATTCATGAATAATGTTACGGGTGTCCCAAGAAAGTTATTAGTTAGGCAGAAAATATGTCACTAGGCCTAAGCTAGCGCCTTGGAAAAACGTGAGGCTGGCTGGTCCTCAGTCACGTGAAAGCGATCGGACCTACAGGACGTCCCTGCGCGTCCGTCCACAGAAATAGTCACGTGGTCTTGTCACCTGTGTTGCGCTATTGCAGTATAACAAGGTTTCCGTCAGAACCCACTTGACTGCGAGAGATTGACTGCCGTTTGAGACTGCCTTTGATGATTGAGGATTGGCGATTGTCGCCGTTGGAACAATCAGTGCAGGCTTGTCACTGGTTAGCGGGGTAGCAAAGGATCTCTTGAGTGAACGAGTGCTCCCGACAACTAAAACGAAACGGGACCAGCATCAGCATTGGGTGATCAGTTCTTACCACGAGGGTGCACAACACCACGTGCCCTCGGTCAGCTAGAAGTATTACCTACTGGCCATGGTCACCTGCGGGCGTTCTCTCTTCCCGACCATGGACGCACAGAGAGTACACTGAGGCTATCTGAGTAAATAAATGGTCACACACTGAGACCAGGAGTCTAGGGGAAACCTAGAGGAACATTTTATCTCCCTTATTCCGGGTGTATGTTGAGTTGGGTGGAGCATAGTTCACGGGTATTGGTGGACCCAGTAACATCTCAATAATAGTGACAATATTTTTGTGTGTAGTTAATACCATTTTTCAGTTACTGATATTATCTTGACGTGTGTAGTAATAGTTCCTAAATGATTTTGATAATATTGTTTTTTGAATGTTTGTGTCACTAAGTGGAACCAGAGTGATACTGTGATTTAATTCCTTTAATGCATCTAATTTTTCTTTATAATTCCGATCTCAGGTATAACCTTTGTTCCCCAGAGTAGTGGTTAAGTTAGGTTAGGAAGTGTGCATCTGTTGGGGGTGATATAATTTTGTTGAGTGGCCTTAAGGCCTATTCATTGTAGAGTTATTAATTTCTTGTTTTTTTAATACCATTTTTTCAGTGCTGGATATTATTTTGAAAGCCCTTAAGGCCTGTTTCATGTGTGCAAGCAATATTTCTTAATACTTTAAACTTATTGTTCTCTCATGAGGCATTGCCTGAGTTTCTAATAATTTCAACATCATGTATAACTTTTATTCCCCAGAGTAGTGTTTTAAGTACAGGTTAAGAGGTGTGCATAGTGGTGTACCATTATTGTTTGTGTTTGTAGTGCTGGAGGGAATATAAGTGTAAATTTTACAGTGTGTCTCATTCATCCCAGTCACAGACGCTATCCTTCCACAGGTCACGGACAACTCATTTTGTTTAGTAGATTTTAGTGTTCTTGTGCTGGTTTGGGATTTTTCTCAAAGGGGCGCTTCCACTGCAATTACCATCTAATAATCTTTAATAAACCCCAAGTCAAGTGTGAAATTAAAGTCCAGTAATTCTGACCGGTTACATATATATATATATATATATATATATATATATATATATATATATATATATATATATATATATATATATATATATACAGTATATACATTATATATATATATATATATATATATCTTGATAAAATCACGTTTTCATTGTGGATTTACATGAAATATATATATATATATATATGTAGGCACCGTTGATCAATAAATGTGATGAAAAGAGTAACTTTTCGGTAAATAAACACATTAACTCTTCAAGGGTTAAATATCCCTTAGGTATTTTATTCTAACTATCACTAAACTATTTTATTCAGCTGAGCGGAGCCTCTGCCCGCTAAAGGGTTAATGTATTTAAGAATTGAACCTGGCTAGTTGCTGTGTTCCATTATGTTTCGAAGAATTGTTCAAATGCCGAATTTTAGATTGTATGTTGTAGATCTTAAAGCGTTGCTATTTTTTGATAAACAATTTTGTTGTTACACAGGTGACAGCAGCAGGGCCACAGACGCCTACACTTCTTGCCCTCCCGCGGCTGTCGAGACACTGCTTCACTCGACACGACAGCCGACCCACCACAGCTGACTCCAGATGAAACTGAAACCAGTCTTTCCTTTCCATGACAGCTATCTCCAAATCAAGCTGAAAGGTCATCTATTTTTCCCACAGCAACTGACTCTATGTGAAGCTGAGCCCCACGACTGCTAACTCCAGATAACACAAACTCTAGATAGTTAGCATTTGAGGATCTAACAATTAACTCCTGATAAAGATAATATCCTCCACATGTAATTTCTCTCGAAGCTAAACCCTGTCAGTCTTACAACCTGAATTTCACTTTCAAGAAACTCGTCTAACTCAGTTAGCAAAAGCCTTGTTACATATATAAATGTCTATACAACCAAAAAGTATGTTTACAGATGGGTCCAATGAATTTAAAAAACCCACTGGGACTTCAGTTGTCAAAGTAGGGGTATCGAAATTCTTCGTCCTTTATATCATAATTGTCTAACATAAAATTGTAAAGATAATTGATTGAGTGTGAGAGACAAGGTATTTACAAAATGCTTGGAAGTTTTATATATTTTTATTTTGGGAAATCCCTTGAGGAAGTCACACATCCTAAACATTGGTATATACATTGGTGAAGAACACGTTAATGTGTACATTGGTGAAGTACATACCGAGGTTTTGAATGAGTAACTTTCTCAAAGAGCTTTGTATAAACAAGAATCAAATAACTTTGTAAAGACTTTATAATTCATACGACAATGTCCTTAGTATAACTGTATACGTACCGGTAATATATTCATGATATTATTCTGGGGAGGAAAGTGTATTGAAGAGAGATATTTTTTGTGGCAAGTGTTTGTATGTCTGTAAATATAGATAAATACATGAATAAAGAAATAAAACTGAATGGAATTTGGGTTCATGTATGAAGTAACACGTATTTTCACTGTGTACTGTAATCTATATTTTAGTGTATTAACTTATTTGTTCCTAATATATATGGATTAAAATATTGTGACATCAGGGTTGTAAAATGAGTTTATTCTAAATGTAAATACAAAACTGTAAATCTGCAAGACGCTCGCGCGCGCACACACACGAAAACTATTAACTGCATACTATGTTACGTTTAGTGTGTGTGTGTGTGTGTGTGTGTGTGTGTGTGTGCATATAAATATATTTTTTTTTGGCATCACTCATCATTACAGGTGCATCACAAATGCTCACACCAACATTACAAAAAAATCTTCTAAATATATGTCTTCATCATCTACATTACTTTGAAAATATAACCAATTAAAAGTAACTGTCCTTTATTTCACCTTTTCTTTATAGAGTACTCGAAAAAAAATGAAATTTTGCACAACAGTTCTTCTAATTGGCTGTTAACACGGAATATCAATAGACGAATGTTTTCATGTCCCTCTTTAATCAGTAACTACAACTATATAACTTTTATTTTCACCATTTTCTTTTTGCTTTAACTGTTATACATTAAAAATACGATGTATTGATGACACGCTAACTCAATTAATTCAACCCAGTGAAGAAGGCGATGTTCTGACGGAGACCTGTGTTGACATGGAAAACCTTCCATGTTTCTGTTATCTTTTATTATTCAAAATCCGTATAAAGATATCCGGTGTTGCGATGTCCTCGAGGACACCTGCCTAACACACTACTAGAAGTGACCACAGATCTCCCGGCCGGGGGTTTCCATGACGCCCCCGTAGCCCCTTCTTGGCGTCCCCCTCCAGCTGATTACGTCACCTCCTAGGTCTATGGAGCAGCCCGAAGCTAGGGAGGTAACGGCGAAGGCGGTGTTGGGGGAGTTTGGGTTAAGGAGAGGCCTTGCCGACAGCTGGAAGAGGGTGAACCAGCCCTCTAAACCTTCCCCCTGATCCATTCCCGCTGCTAGTGCTGTGTTCTGGCGCTGCCCTGACACAGGTACACCTCCTCCAGGAACCACCATTCCCACACTCTGTTATGGCCAAATTCTTTACTGGCGGAGTTTCATGAATATGCTTGTGGTTATGTTGAACTTTTGAATTCATTGGTAATAAGAAATTCTGTGATTTCACATAAACAGTCTTTTTTAGACTTTTGCTTTCATAATGAATGATTCAAATTAGAAAATTTAACTTAGAAATTCTGATAAATGCAGATTCAAGTATAAAGTAAAGAGCTTGACTAACCATTGGATTTAACCCAAAAGATAGGATCTTGCCGTCCATGAAAACGCTCCACTGGCCGGTGGATGAGTCCCAGGAGTGGAGCATGTGGTGCCATTCACCCACTCTGACGAGGGGCGACACCACGCGACTCACCAGATGATCGTTAATCTGCAGCGTCCAGTGTTGGGGGTTCCCTTGCACCAGCTGCACCGTCAGATTGTTGTTGGTGCTCAGCTCATTCACTGTGACCAAAATGAAAGGACGAAAACGTTCTAAAAACGTATCATGCCAGACACATGCATTTGAAAAATCTGCCCTGATATGGAAAATTAAACTAACCAATAATAACCATAAAAAGCTCTATATGTGCATATATTCACCCCCGCAGTATGGAGTAGTAGTATGACCATTAATGTTTTTGTTTCACAAGTCCAATATATTATAAAACTCCTTTAGAACAGTTTGCTGTTCCACCATCTTCTCTGACTAAATCATCCACACTGTTCCCCATCCCTGCAACCTCGCGCTAAGCATTCATTGATCCTTGTTATTCCTTCCACAGCTCCCTTATAACTTTGCCCTCATCCATCCGTCACGGGATACTTACAGCCATAGTTGAAGGTGGTGGCGGTGCGGACGGTGGACAGGAGGTTAAACCAGTAGTGCATAGTGAAGGCTGTGAGGGGCGGCACCTCAGCCACGTACTCAGAGTACTCTACGTACCCCGTCTGGTTCAACAGTAACTGAAAAATAAATAATCTCATTACCAGAGGGTACAAGTACATTGCTAAAGAAAATATTAAGCTTGAAATTATTAATAAATCTCTTATTCACCAAATTCCCGTTAAGAAGCAAGAGAGAAACATGACTTCTAAAAAAAATAAATATAACAAAGCACTTTTTTTTTTTTTTTTAATTTGTAGTAATATTACCTACGCGAACCTTAAGCTAAAATGCTGGTCCACCCACTGCTGGGATAAAACACCAGCGTCTTTTTTGGTTAAATGTACATTACCACTAGTGTGTCTGGGGGGTGCTCGGTAAGATGAGCACGAGGAACAGTACCTTTGGTAGTCTGTTTCGCAGGCAAGGCTGTGTCGAGATACGGCCAAGTTGCTCCTCAGTTTCCCCAGCCGCCACCATCATCACCGCCACCAGCAACAGCCACACACCATCACGCCTCCAAGCCACTGTGTGTGAAATGGCACAACACTTCATCTCTAATGGCAAGATAGCCGACATATTAAGATTGTATCCACTTTTTTGCACTTTGTAACTATATCAGTTCTCATGTACAGAACCAAATACGCAATGTGCTTGAATACCTCCCACGTAAATGTGAATAACAAAGTGTGAGGCCAGACATACTGCCTCACACGCCTGTTCTCACGCATTTGTGAATAAGTTACCCTTTATGTATAGAACTAAACAAATAATGTAAATGAAATACTGTGTAACTTTCAGTGCCATAATATCCTGACAACCGGGGTTAATTATTATGACCCTTTGTAAACCCTACTCTGTAATCCTTTTGCGCTACCGCTCACAGGATGAGTGTGGGGTGCACAATAAAGTAGCCGCTGCAAGCGGCAAAATCAATCATCCGTCTGCTTCCTTCCATTGTGGTCTGCAGTTGTTTTCGTCAGAAGAGTCCTGAACAAAAGCTATATAATGCCTTGTTAACATGATATTTATATAATCACCGACGCCGTGATGTTTACAGTTAATACATCTGTTTACAGTTAATACATCTGTTTACAGTTAATACACCTGATGCTTATAGTAATGCACCTATCCCCTTTCCTCCCCACCCGGGAGAAAGCCGAGTAACTCACCTAGTTAGGTTAGGTTAGGTTAGCTTGGGTTTTCTATAAAAAAAGATTCATTTATAGAGTAGTATGAATATCTACATGATCGTCTTTGGCCAGTCAGAAGTTTCCAAAAGAAAGAAATACGTAGACGTTATCATTGTTAGGCAATTATCCCTATTTAGTATTATCCACGCGCACACATGCAGTTACAGTACATGGGCAGAGAGCTTCATGTACTGGGTTAATTGACAATACCTTGATAAGTAGATGAAGGTGACGTAATGGAGCAGAACCTTCTGTAAACACCAAACAACGTGTGCTGTTGTCCAGGAGCTGACCACAACTGACCGCCATCTGACTGACTGATGTTGGGGATTACTGGCCTCTTCGCCATTAGGCGATTTCGGCCGAAGCTGATGTCTTCTTTCTTCTTCTAATCTTGGTCTTCTTTCTTGCTACAACTAATCTGATGTTCTTGCTTCTTCTTTTCTTGTTATTCTTGTGTTCTTCTTGTTCTTGGTATTTTGGTTACTTCTTTCTTCTTGTTGTTTTATTTGGGATGAATTATGGTATGCATGAGTGATATGATGGTGAGTTACTGACAGACCAGATGAAATGGCTTGTCAGGTGACTAGTTTCTCTGTGATTTTTTATTTTTTTTTATTTTTTATTTTGTCTTTTGTAGCCCGTGTCTTTTTGTTTGAATATGAGTTGGTGGGTGTCAGTTTAACTTGATAAATGTGAGTGTTGTATGTAATGATAAGGTTTGTGATGTGTTTCTCATGTTGTATGTTTTAATTTTTGTTTTATTCATTTTTATTTTTTTTATTTTATTTTTTTTTAGGGCATGGTTACATACATATAATAGATATAAAAAGAGTTCATGCGTGTGTCAATCATAACATGCCGATAAGATGGGTCTCCTTGAGGAAGGTTATTACAGCGTCACTTATGGTGACATCATCTTGCAATAGGTTGGGTACAGTCAGCACGAAGCCTTGCTCGGCAGCTAGGATCACCAGCTGCCGGCGCTCTGGTTCGTACTGGCTGCACTCGGTCAGAATATGTCTGATGGAGAGAATTAGGTTACAAGTGGCACAGATAGGTGGGAAGGAATTGTCAAGATAGGCCCCTAGGTGGGTCAGATAGGTACAGTTCAGCCTTAGTCTGGCGAGAACGACCTCTTCCCTCCTATTCTTTCTATATGCTGAGGGCCAGTTTCCTATATTAGGCTTCCAGGTGTTGTGGAGATTTAACCTAGTCCATTCAAGTTGCCACTTTCCAAATGTATATGTCTTCCCCAAGGAGAGACACGACTGAGTCTCCCAGGGTACATTGGTTGTCTCCCCGAGACCCACAGTCGCTCTTGCTAATCTGTCTGCCCGTTCATTGCCCCAAATGTTACAATGCCCAGGCACCCACACCAGCACAATATTCTTGGCACACTCATGTAATTTATTAATAATGTTGCCCTGTATCTCATTGCTGGTAGTATCACCACCTTGAATTGCTTTAAGAGCTGACATGGAATCTGAAATGACAGCGACATCATTGACATTGCTTGTTATTGCAATGTCAATGGCTCTACTTATTGCGAACATTTCTGCAGAGAATATGGTTGTATGCCGCGGCAGGCGGGAGCTCCACTCCCCGTCTCTGCTCCAGATACCGGCTCCGACGTTGTCGTCAGTCTTGGACCCGTCGGTGTACACGTGAGTATAGGCGCTGTATCCTTCCAGAAATTGATAGAAAAGTTGCCTCAGGAGCTCAGGATGAAAGTCATTCTTCGCTCCCGGAAGCCACGATGTTTCCACATGGAAGTTGGGGTTCTCCCATGGCGGACACAACGGTGGAACGTATCTATCAACGTCTTCGAAATGGATACCAGCACCCTGGCACAAGGTCTGGAGGCGGACAACCGAGGACGGGGACCTACGCAGCTGAAGGAAACGGAATTTAGCAACAGCACACCAACCTGGGTGGCCTGTGCCGCGCTTCCTAGCCGTACTCAACCCGTACCTTAGCGTCAACATGTCCCTCCTTATGTGAAGTGGAGGGACGTGGGCCTCAACCTCTAGTTTACCTACACGTGTACACCTGTAAGCACCCAGACATAGACGAAGGCATCGGTTCTGTATTCTGGTTAGCCTTGCGAGTGTGGTGTCGCATGCCGAAGCATACAACTGGCATCCATAATCAAGTTTTGATCTGATCAGGGTCTTATACACCATTAATAAAGATTTCCTATCGGCTCCCCATGTAGTACCTGATAAAACTTTCAGGATGTTTGTGACTTTAAGACATTTACTTTCAAGCTCGTTAATGTGGTTTTTCCACGTTAATTTCCGGTCAAAATGAACACCAAGAAATTTTACTGAAGTTTGAAATTTAATAGGAGTATCATTTAATTTTAATACTGGATTTCTAATGTTACGTTTCTTAGTGAAGACTACTCCTACTGTCTTCTCAACTGAAAACCTAAATCCCCATTGTATTGCCCACTGTTCCGCGGCTTTTAGGCCGGTTTGCACCCTTTGTGCAGATAGCCTCTCAACTCGAGAGGAGCGCCAGATTGCGCAATCGTCAGCAAACAAGGAGAATTTGAGGTCACTTAAGCTGGGGGCTGGTGATAGGAAATCATTAATCATTATAAGGAATAAAATTGGGCCCAAAACGCTACCTTGTGGAACTCCATTTTCAAAGACAAATGTGTCTGACTTTACGTTACCTTTTAATTTGACGGAAAAAGTCCTGTCTTGCAAAAAATTACTAATAAAAATTGGCAAATTACCTCTCAGACCCAAGGCGTGGAGCTTCATCATGAGGCCAGTCCGCCATGTCATGTCGAAAGCTTTTTCTATGTCTAAGAATACTGCAATTAATGTTTCTTTACTGCAAAGAGCTTTTGAGATGTCAGTTTCAAGACTTATTAAATGATCTAGTGTGCTTCTACCTTGGCGGAAACCACACTGTCGATCATTCAATAAGTTGTTACTTTCCAAAAACTACATTAGTCTACGCTTTATCATACGTTCCATGACCTTACACAGACAGTTTGTGAGCGAAATCGGACGGAATGAGTTGGTGTTGTTCGGGCATTTGTCCCTCTTCGGGATCGGTACGACATGGGCAAAGTGCCATGAGTTTGGAAACGTTCTGGACGTCCAGATCTCATTGTACACTTCTAGCAATTTGTCCAGGTTTCCCTGGTCAAGGTGCTTAATCATCTCGTATCGTATACCGTCAGGTCCAGGAGTAGAGCCCTTGCCCTTATTAATAGCAAAGGAAAGTTCCTCTGGGGAAAATGCTCGATTGTAGCCCTGTTCGTCCCCGTTCTCGAAGTCGAGATGCAAGAGCTCGGCACGATCACGGAACACGCCGAAGCGTGGATCATGATTGGTGGAGCTACTGGCATCTGCAAACTTCTGGCCTAGGGTGTTGGCAATGGCCTGGGGTTCGTCGAGAATCCGCCCTCCACTACTCACCTGTGGGATAAAACTCCTTCCTCCTTTGGATCTGACCCGGTTTATAGCCGACCATACCTCAGAGGAAGGGGTATCCTTGTTAATAGTGGAGACGAACGCCCGCCAAGACTCTCTCTTACACTCCCTGAGAACCCTCCTAGCCTTGGCTCTAGCTTTTTTATATTCAATTAAGTTTACAAGTGATGGAATTCTATTGAATAAACGACATAGCCTATTTCGCTCACAGACCACTCGTCGGCAGTCTGGTGTCCACCATGGAACTCCAGGCCTGTGGGTTTTTGCAGAAGTCTTAGGAATTGTTAAATCTGCTGCGTGTATTATAGCTTGTTGTATGTGTGTAATTTTGGTGTTGATGTCTTGTCCAAAGGTGTCTATACGAACGGCTCCTGAGTAGGCCCTCCAGTCTGCTTTCCTAAGGTTGTAGCGCACCTCGGGAGTAGCCGTTGGGGCGCCACACTCATAAGAAATGCAGATCGGAAAATGGTCGCTACCCAGAGAGTCGTCGTATGTAGAAAATTTACAATCTAATAGCAAGGCAGCATCAACTATAGAAAGATCTATAGCTGACGCTGTGCCAAATCGTTCGTCCACTCGAGTCGCACTACCGTCATTCAGAAGAGACAGGTTGGAGTTGAGGATAGCTGCAGCCACCTGCTCTCCCCTCCCATCACTCCGGACACTGCCCCACCGCAAATGGCGAGCATTGAGGTCGCCGAGGATCATTTTCTTTCCTGGCAGTTGGTTAAATAGCTCCTCAAGCTCACCATCGTCGATGAGCCCGCCCGGAGGACAGTATAGTGAACAGATGGCAACATAGCCAGTCCGAATCTTAACTCTGCACGCCACAGCCTGCAGGTTCACGTTCAGACTGACTCTTTGCTGGGCGAATGAACTCCGAATGTATAGGGCTACCCCCCTTAGGTTGTCTCCCATGTAGGACGTGTAGTTGTCGAATACAGGTGGGTCGTCGTGACCCGCAAGTAGCGTCTCTTGTAGGCAAAAAACGTCCGGCCGGAATAATGACATTAGTAAATGAAATTGAGCGTTTTTATTCCTAGCACCTCTGCAATTCCACTGTATGATACTGAATTTTAAGTCTGAGAGTTGATATGGTCAGCGTTTTGGGCTTTATTTTTCTTTCCTCTTGTATATGGGGGGGAAAGAGGGTCCGGGGAAGGATCCCCCTCATCGGATGAGCAGTCTCCCGGCTCCAAAGAGCCAGTACTCTGCTCGGCAGGGGCTCCCTGCCCCTGGTGTGATTGAAAAACGTGAAAGAGTGGTTGTGGTTTGAGTCTCTTATCATGCATTCTAGCGATTGCGTTCTCCTTACGTTGGGGTAGATAGGGTCGTGAGTCTGTTTGGGTTTTGGGGTCAGGTATAACTTGTTAGTTTGGGTCTCGTTATTGGTCATAGTTGTATTAGTGTTCTCGTCTTTGGCGTCTGTGGTTGAATAACTGGTGATTGTGGAGTCAGTCTGTGTTGCGATGGTCTTGGTCTCAGTCTGCGTTCCAGTGGTGCACATTTTGGGAGGTGAGGTATTTTTGGATACAGCGGATGCAAAGGACATTCCAGGTGTTGGTGTCTGCAAGGACAACTCCACCTGCCTCTTAGCCTCCTTGTAGTCCAAATTGTTCTCTGCTCTCACCTTACTGATCTCATACTCCCTCAGGTAGGAAGGGCACTTCCTGTCTGAGGCAGCATGCTGACCGGAACAGTGGTAGCATTTTTCCTCCGTTTGTGTACAGTCATCGTCCCTGTGTCCAGTCTGAGCACATTTGGAGCATACCTGGGTGTTACGGCAGGCCTTACCAGTGTGTCCAAACCTTTGGCAGTTAAAACAACGCATTGGGAATGGAATGTATGTTTTGGTCT